GTCGTAGTACTAGTCGTAGGAGTAGCAGTAGTACTAGTCCCGGATCCGCTTCTGATGGCCTTGGAGTCCGAAAACGGGTCCCGCGGGCCGAAATCGATGAAACATTGCCGGTTGAGTAAATCCCATCATGTCCCACTAAACCCAGTCCTGCCAACGCCCGATTTCGGTCCTCCTTGCAATCATTTTCCCCAGACTCAACGCTGATGGACAGTTCGTGGTGTCCTCCTAGCACGGCCCTCTGCGGGGCCTCGGTGGGAAATGGCTGCTAAGCGGAGCAACCGCTAGTGCAATCCCGCCCATCCAACCTGCGTTAAATTGTGTACGGTAGGTTCATGCGGCGTTGGCGCGCCAAAGGCGCCAGCGAAGGCATTAGATATTGAATTCCGCCACGCGGAAGCACCGATGGGGCAAGGTCACGCCATTGGGCCCGACGGAATTCAATCTTGCACGATCGGGGCCGCGATCGGTTCAAGGTCGAGCGATCGACGCGGTGTCAAAAACCGTTGCGCGCGCCGCTGCCGCACGAGCTTACCGTACGTGGACATTTGTGTGTATCAGTTCGTTGGCGACTCGGCGAGGGAAGCCTGCCTCCGGAGGGAGGGGTGTGCAGGCATCAGGAAGAAGGAGGAGGAGGAGAAGGAGGAGGAGGAGAAACGATCCTCGCATGATGCTCGGTGCCTCCCTTCGGAGGAGCGCGCCGACGGCGAGATGACGAACACCCCGACCGTCGGCGAGATGACGGCCACCCCAACCCACGTGAAGAGCATGACGCCCTGCCAGCGGACAGAGACGATGCAGATGTTCGCGTTCGAGGACGCGGCCACGCGGCCTCCCAGGAGGAGGAGGAGGAGGAGGAGGAGGAGGAGGAGGAGGAGGAAGTGGAGGAGGAGGAGGAGGAGGAGGAGAAGAGGAGAAGAGGGTTCCGATATCGTATGCCGATACCCTTGCCTCGTTCTCCCTTTTTTGGGCCTCCCAGGGGGCCCTCGTCGCCACGGCTGGATTCGCCTCGAAATTCTGTTTCGGACGCATCCCGGGAGAGGTTCGGGGAATAGCGGTATTGGTGCTTTTTGGTTTCCCCTTCTCCTCTTCGTCATTCTCTCCCTTCCCCCCTCCCTCCCTTCTGCCTCATCGCTTTTCGTGGGGCCCGGCTTTTCGTGGGGCCCGGCACTTTCGGAGCTCCTCGCGGGTTGCCTGGATCGGCGCTGGGCCCTCCGGGCGGCGCCTCCGGCGCCGCCCCTGGCGCGCTCCGCGCGCCAGTGAGGGCGTCCAGCGCCGATCCAAGAGCTCCGCGCGGACCTGCATGCATTCATTGCTTCGCTTAAGCTCCTCCTCCTCCTCCTCCTCCTCCTCCTCCTCCGCCTCTCCATCCTCGCGCCTCCCGTCGTGAGAGAATTACGACGGACGATATTTCCGTGACCCCGCACCGTCAACATATGGCTGCGGGTGAGAAATTCGTCCCAGGAATGGGTTCGGTTCTAGAGCTTCTGGGGTGCACGGTGAGAAAAATGACTGCCTTCGAAATTGTGGGTCTTGTTCATCCTCTTCCTCTCCTCCCTCCCTCCCTCCCTCCTCACTTGTCGTGGGTCGTCCCTCGTTTCCGCCCCTGTGCCTCTTGGTCGCTTCTCTGGCCATCCTTGGCTCCTTGGCCTTTGCCACGGAGCCATCTTACTCCATGGCCCTGCCTGCAAGTGCATGCCCCATTTGGTAACAGGCTTCAGCTGTCGCCAGCGCGCCTTTCATTCAGGGAGCACGCGCTGACTGCCAAACCGCCGTCAACCACCACCTCCTCCTGACGCTGCTGCTGAGGGCTGTCTCGATCCCTTCCCCTCCACCTCTTCCTCATCTTCATCCTCTCCATCCCTCCCCCATCACAGGGGTTATGCCAGTTCGTACTGGTTTTGGGAATTTTGATACAAAAGGTTCCCGTGAGATGGACTCCTCAATGTGTCTCCATCATTCTGGAGTGGGTAATTCTCTCCCTTCCTCCCTTCCGTCTGGTCGACCAGGGGGATACCGCTATCCCGCTTGGGATTGCCTCCTCGGACCTTCTGGGGCCTCCTGTGACCCCTTCGGGCCTCCTGTGGCCCCCTGAAGCCTCCTGAGACGTCTTTGGGCCTCATGGAGCCAGCTGAAGCCGCCTGGAGCGTCCCAGCCAGGACCTCCTGAGGCCTCCTGGTGCCTCCTGGAGCTCTTGGGGCTAGAAACTCCTGGATTTTGCAACGCCCCAAAGTGGTTTCGGTTTAGTGCATGACCCCCAGGACTGATGCTCAGGGCCGTCCCCTGAGAGCTGGTGGGTGCGCCACACCCCCGACCAGCGGAGGAGGAGGAGGAGGAGGAGGAGGAGGAGGAGGAGGAGGAGGAGGAGGAGGAGGAGGAGGAGGAGGAAGAGGAGGATTGGGTTTCTATGGGCCAGAACGGGTCGCGACGGCCTATGCTTTCGCGCCGTGGGCGCGGGGGTCGCGTCGGGCCGTCCCCGAGCCTCGCCCCACGCCTGCTTTCTCGCATGCGGTGACAGCACGCTGCCACTGCCTGCGCCCCCTTCTCGCACGAGTTGATTCTAGTATTGTAGATGAGTGCCTCGCTCGAGACTAAATTTGGCTCCAGATTCGCCCCCCGCTTCTCGCAAGGGGTTTGCCCCAGAGCTCTCGACAATATTGGGCTCCAGCTTCGCTTCCCGCTTCTCACAAGAGGCTTGCCTTGACGAGCCTTTCCCCGAAAGGACGCGCGGCGCCATCTTCACCATTCTCACTACTAGAGTAGGGATAGGGTCCGTCGCGTCGCACTCGCCATTTCGCTCCCTAGAGTCGGGCCCCCATTGCGCCTTCAGCTTCTCCCAGCGCGCTGTGCTAGCTAGGGTGCTGACGTGTGGCTCCAGCTTTGCCTTCCCCTTCTCACACCGTAATGCCCTGATCCCAACGCTGTAGCTGAACACGTCGGACTCTACCTTCGCCTCCCTCTTCTCGCGGTGGGGCGACGGTGTAGGCTTTAGGCTCCATCTTGGCCTCCCGAGTTCTGCACGCTGTTCGCACCGTGACTCTCGGAAGGTGACAATGAGCTCTAGCTTCGCCTCTCGCTTCTCACAGTGAGCTGCGGTGGCAAGGACCATGGGCTCCACTTCTCGCGCCGCGTCCGCGATCCCAGCACTGTAGCTGCTCACGTCGGGCTCTACCTTCGCCTCCCACTGATCGGAATAGATAGCTAGGAGAAGAGGTAGGAGTAGGGGTAGCGTCGGGCTCCAACTTTGCCCCCCGCATGTCGCAGTGCCTCTTGCCACTGCTCGCCTTTCGCGCAATGCCCTGATCCCAACGCTGTAGCTGGACACTTCGGGCTCTACCTTCGCCTCCCTCGTCTTGCGGTTAGGCGCCGGTATAGGCGTTGGGCTCCGTGTTGTCCTCCCGCTTTTTGCACGCTGCTCGCACCGTGGCTCGCGGGAGGGGATAGTGGGCTCCAACTTCGCCTCTCGCTTCTCACAGTGAGCTGCAAGGATGGCCGTGGGCTCCACTTCTCGCGCTTTTCCCTCAATCCCAGCATTGTAGCTGATCGCGTCGGGCTCTACCTTCGCCTCCCACTGCTCGCGGTACGCCGTCGGGTGGTGGTGGACGGCTGCGTCTTCGGCACCTACACTCGTCTCGTCGAGTGTAGCTGATGGCGTCGGGCTCGTCCTTCGCCTTAGTCGTTCGTAGCTCGTCGTCGTCGTCGTCGTCGCGCTGCAGCTGACAACGTCGCGCTCGTCCTTCGTCGTACGTCCGTCGCCGTCGCCAGCATTGTAGCCGTCGTCGTCGGGCTCGGACTTGGCTTTCCTTGGGCTCCATCGTCGCCTACCGCTGCTGTCCCGTCGCTGGGAGATGCTGGCTTGGGGCGCGACTTTCGCCTGCATGTGGTTCATGAGCTTGCCCACTGCTTCTTTACTTTTCTGCACCTCTGAGGCCGGATCCTCCTGGGGGTGGGAGCAGCTTGGGGCCTCGCTGGTCGGGGCCCAGATCGTCACCTCTACTGGCTTCCCGTCGAGGAGCAGGAGGGTGTCGCACCTGAGCCCGACGGAGCCTTCGCGATGGAGAAAGGCGGGCGGCGGGGCAAGAGGAGACGGAGGGGGCAAGAGAGAAGAAAACATCGCGGCCCCCGCTGGCGGCCCGCAGGGGGCAGTGCCACTTCGAAGTTGGCCCCCCGCGACTCAGGGCCCCCCTACCCCGAGCGAAATGGCTGAGGAAGAGGAGGAGAAGGAGTAGGAGGAGGAGGAGGAGGAGGAGGAGGAGGAGGAGGAGAAGGAGGAGGAGGAGGAGGAGGAGGAGGAGGAGCAGGAGGAAGACCAGGATGATGATGATGTGGAGGGGAGGAGGAGGAGGAGGCGAAGGAAGAGGAGGAGGAGGAGGAGGGAGGAGGGAGGGAGGAGGGGAGGGGGAGGGAGGAGGAGGTGGAGGAGGAGGAGGGGGAGGGGGAGTTGTTCTACATGTTCAGTCTTTCGTCATTTTCGGCCTCCAGGGGCCATTTTGGAAACCGGGAAGCCGCGCGGGGTTCCGGAACCGCACGGGGACCGCGCCAGACGCGCGGGGAGTGAAAGCGTATCTGGGTGGCGACCCCTCCCCGGGACCCCCCCCTGGGACCCCCCCGGGACCCCCCCCGGGAGACCCCCGGGACCCCCCCCCGCCTGGGAAGGGACAAAGGGAAGGGGCTTCCCGTTGACGTGGTTACGACATGGGCCGATTTCCCTCAAGCCCGCTAGAGCACTGCAACAACGACGACACCGACGACGAACGGCACAGCCCCTCACACACGTCGACAGAGTCGGCGGATTTGCATTTCATACTCTTGTCGCTTCTCGCTGGAGAACTTTGTATATGAGCATTTGGGTGTGAGCCAGCTGGCGTGTACGACGGGCGCCACGACAACGACGGCGACAGCGACGATTTCAGTGACTTCAGTGGGGATTTTTGAGGAGAGATGAGGGAAGCACCGGTGGAAGAGCGAGGGGGCAATTCACCACCAACGGGGAGAAGTGTGAGTGAAGCTGAACATGAATGATCTGAGTGTGAGTGAGTCTGAATGTGAATGAGCCCGGCTATGGTTAGTGTGGGTGTCTTCGGGTCTAGGTAGTAGAGAATCTGAGTACGAGTGGGTCTGAGAATGCGTAAGTCTGAATCTGAGTCGGTTTGAGTGAGAGTGGGTCTGAGTGTGGGTAAGCCTGGGTGTGGGTGAGTGTCAGTATGAGTATAACGAGTACCAGTCTGAGTCCGGATGGGTCTGGGTACGATTGAGCCTGGCTACAAGTGAATCTGAGGGTGGGTTGGTCTGAGTGTGGGAGATTCTGAGTGTGAGCAAGTCTGAGTGCGAGTGCGTCTGAACATGAGTATGATGAGCACGAAACTGAGTCTGAGTGGGTCAGAGTACGCGTGAGTCTGATTACGAGAGAGTGCGAATTTGGGTGGGTCTAAGCGTGAGTGATTCTGAGTGTGAGTGAGTCTGAGTGTGACTGCGTTTGAGTATGAGTATGGTGAGTGTGAAGTTGAGTCCGATTGGGTCTGAGTACGAGTGAGTCCGGGTGTGCGCACTTCTGGGTGTGAGTGAGTGTGGGTATGGGTACGGCGAGTACGAGTCTGAGTACGCTCGAGTCTGAGCACGACCGGATTTGAGCAGAAGTTAGCCTGGGACATCCTCGCAATCTGGGCCCCTCTGGGATGCGAAAGCCAGCGCCTCGCCCGAGAAATCTTCAGAATCTGGTCTGAACGCAAGCGAGTCTGGCCAACAAAACGATCAAACCGCTCAAGACATCCTAGCCATCTGGGCCCCTTCTGGGGTTCGACAACCAGCGCCTCGCCCGAGACATCCTCATATTCTGCTCCGAGAGCGGAGGATGTTGGGAACCAAACAGGCAAACCGTTCGAGACATCCCCGCAATCTGGGCGCGAACGGAGGAGTGCAATACCCTCTGGCGGCCCCCCTTTCGGGTGGGCGAAAGCCAGCGCCTCGCTCGAGACATCCTCAGAATCTGCTCCGACAGCGGAGGATGTTGGGAACCAAATCAGGAAAACCGCTGGAGACATCCCCGCCATTTTGGCGCTAACGGAGTGCAATGCCCCCTGGCGCCTCCCCCTTTGGGAGTGTTTCAGCCCGCCCTCGCCCAAAACATCGTCAGAATCTGGTCCGCCATCATCATCATCATCATCATCAGCATCATCATCATCATCATCAACATCATCATGATCGTCATCATCATCATCACCATCATCATCATCATCATCATCATGATCATGATCGTCATCATCATCATCATCACCATCATCACCATCATCATCATCACCATCATCATCGTCATCATCAGCATCATCTTCATCACCATCATCATCATCATCAGCATCGTCAACATCATCACCGTCATCATCAGCATCATCATGATCGTCATCATCATCATCATCATCATCGTCATCATCAGCATCATCATCATCACCATCATCATCATCGTCATCATGACCGTCATCATCAGCATCATCATGATCGTCATCATCATCATCATCATCATCATCATCATCATCATCATCATCATCATAACAGTCATCATCATCACCTTTCGCATCAGCAGAACATAACCTAAGTAGTGGCCCTGAGTGTGACTCTGGGTGAGGAAGAAGAGGAGGGAGGTGAGTGGGTGGGTTCTCGGCGCGGTCGGTAATATCGAGAACCCCATCCTTTCGATGTGGGGAATGTCAAGAACCCCATCCATTGGATATGGTTGATAATTCCCAGAGGATCCGAAGGGACCTCCAGTGCACCCGCAACATATTCAAAGCTGTTGCGGTTACTATGTTGCTTCAGTGAAATTCCCCAGGAGGCCCTCTTGGAGCCCTCGCGGGGCCCACTTAACGCTCCAAGACGAGCCCAAGAACGCCTCCATAATCACGGCAACATCATTGAATTTGTTGCGGGTGTTCGGGGGGATGCTTGCTTGGTGTCCTCGTGTGGTCTTCCTGGAGCTATCGCGGGCTTCTCTTGCCGCTCTGAGAGGATCCTCGGGGGGGGGGAGGCTGATGGTACCGGATCCATGTCCCCAGACCCCCGACGTCGTGATTTTTTCATGACGTGACCCCCTGGAGCCTGGACTTCTTCCCGAGGACTGGTTTTTGGTCCTGAGTTTGTTCGACAGTCCCGAGGCCCGGTCAAGGCCCCCGCGGAGGACGAAAATCAGGAAAAGCCTTCTGTCACTGTCATGTTTTTGTTCATTGCCCGAGGGGTTTTTGGGTAGGATGGTCCTGGAGCCCGAGATCATGGTCCCCAGAGGCCGAGCTCCAGGAAGGACGCCCCGCCTTGACACAAATCCTATCGCCGGAGATCCGGGCCCGCGCCAGGATCGGGGCTCAAGAGACGGGGGTCAATGCAAACGGGGGTCAGCCAGAGCTCCCGATCTTGCAGGATCCTGCAGGGCCAGGGTCGCATTGACCCGGGTGTGGGTGCAGGATCCTGCAGGATCCTCCGCATTTGCCTGGGTTTGGGTGCAGGATCTTGCAGGATCCTGCAGGGCCTGACTGACCCGTGTCCGGGTTGACCCGGGTCAGAAGATCCCCGACAGGACCACTTGCTCGGGTGGCCGAGCGACCCCAGGTGCGCCCGCGGCGGGGCCGCGCGGGGGGCGGGATGCTCGCTCCGGGTGCGCGGCTGCTGCTGGCGCCCTCTGCTCCCCCCCCCCACTGCGGTCCTCCGCCCGCGCTCTGCTCCGTGCCCCTGCTCGCTGGCACGAGCGGGTCGTATGAAGGATGAGATGAAGAGTCATAGGAATAATACTAAGAATGCAAATGATAGTACGAGTAGGCAAAATATATTTTATCATAGCATTCCGAATCATGAGAACTGACAGCGTAATCATAATAACAATGACAAAGGCGATACGAAAATCAAGAAGAAGAGGTCCCCGAATAGGCAAGATACCCACACCGCTACCCTCGTTTTTGTCGCCCTTTTGGGCCTCCTGGGGGGCCCTCGTCGCAACCGCCGGATTCGCATCGGAATTCTGTTCGGAGCGCACCGGGGAAGAGGTCCAGGGAGTATAGCGGTATCGGAACGTACCTTTTGTATTTTCCTTTCTGACACCAGAAACCGAGTCACTCTTGGAATTTTCGCGTGCACTCCACGCCTGCTTCCTCCTTCTCTCTCTCACTCTTTTTCCATATTTTCCTCTATCACCCACTCTCTCTTTCTCTCTACTGTGCATCTGGTATATACAAATAGTCTTTGTGCACAAGAGATGCCCTCTCACCTCGCTCTACACTGAGTTGTCCAAGTCCCCCTTTCAATTATACAGGTAGAAATATACAGGTGGGTGTATACGTACAGTGTTGGTGTGAGTATAGACAGTTGGTGAGTTGCCTCTCCCCGCCTCTCTTGCTTTACATGCTCTCTATACCCAACTTCGGCTAACGCTATATAATGTGCGTTTTATATGTACGATCTACTATCTCACTCTGACCTCCCCATCCATCTTACAATTATTGATCTAACAGTGGTCGCAACTACTACCTTTATTTGTCTCTCTCTCTCTCTCTCTTTCTCTTTGTTTCTCCAATTCATCTGGTCACTTTCGCTCGCAACTCAGGCCCAGGCGCGTTGCCACAACCAAGGCATCCATAACCCCAGAACTTTCCTTTTCCTCCTTGCCAGGAATCCAGAAACGGAAACTGGAAAGCCAAGAAACCCGCCAAACCTTACATTGCCGGGGGCCCTGGAATCGGGAACCTGGAGCCCGGGAACCCAGCCGCCCTTCGAACCGGAAACCCGGGAACCCAGCCAACCTTACATCGCCGGGAACCCTGGAACCGGGGACCCAGGAACCCAGCCAGGAACCTAGTCGCCCCTTGAACTGGGTCTGGAAATTGGAACACGTAACTCAAGAACCAGGTATTGGAAACGCAGGAACCCAGCCGCCTACCGAAATCGGCCTGGGACTTTCGCCAAGTCCCTCAGTATCCGCGAGGACCTATTCAGCGCAAGTGCTGATGGGGCAAGGAAGAATGATATTACGAATAATAACGCGACTAATATCAAACGTGACATGGATAATCATCGGAAACACAATGGTCACTTGAATTGCAATCGTAGAGGAAGAATGCTCACATAGTATTTTTATTCTTAATAACGCGTACGAGTATCAGACGGCGAAAACGGCACTAACATGAACTTTAGAAGTTCTGATCGGATCGGCGCTGGGCCCCCTGGCGTCACCTCCGGCGCCGCCCCTAGGCGCCAGGGAAGGGGTCCAGCGTCGATACAAGAAGGCAGCGCGGAGCTCCGAGAACGCGTGTGGATGCCTAGTTTTAAGTCGGGCAGGTCCCTTTACATTTTTTGGACTATTCTGGGCTATTTTCGAATATTTGCGATTATCTTCATATTTTTCGTCCAACATCCGCCTGTAGGGGGACATGCCCGATCTAAGCCTAGTTTGGTGGATCTATAGGAATAGGTACGTAATACAGCCAACTCGCATCGTAAGGATGACCTTCCCAAGGGTACCCCCTGCATCCTTGCCTCCACGACCCTTCCTTTGCCGCTTTCGCCGGCCGTGCCCAGCTCGCGGAGCTTCGATTCGGCCCTCCAAGGGCCTTGCATCCTTGTCGTGCGTCCTTATGATACACTGTGGGCCCATGCCAAGAAACACCCTGCTTGCCTCCAGGATGCCCTGGGTTTCTTGGGTTTCGATGGTTTTGCGATGGAGAGCGCGACGTTCCCACAAAAAATCCATGGGCGTCCAGGGGCCTCAGCGTTGGGTTTGCTGCGGAAGGTTTCCTGTGGACTGGCCCCCAGTGTACGGGCCGACCGTAATCGGGACGGAGACCGACACTCGCTCCCTGTCTGTCTCGAGCCTGGTCGGGTCTCGCGGTCGGTGTCGTCGCGGGCGCCGTGCGTTCGGGACGACAGGTCGCCTTTCCCACGGCGGCCGCCGTCGGCTTTTGGACAGCAGCTACGATTGGCCATCCATTTTCTTGATGAAGCGACAGCACACTCCCATACCCACAGGGGATCGGAGGGAGGATGACTTCGAAGACGACAGAACACTATAAAATCCGTAGCCACTTCGGCTCGAGCCGCGTCGGCTTAAGAAAGAAGCTTCTGTCCCCACCAGCTACTGCACAGTTGCGAACTGTATAATAGTTCCAAGGAGCAGAGAATCTTTTTTCCTTTTCCAGTCATCGATCTTGGATCGGAGCCATGGGCGGGAATCTCTCCCTGTTCACCCCAAAGCTCGCGCCTAAGGAGAGCGCGGGCGAACCGGATTCGTATCGCCCGTCTGATCGCATGATCAAGTACGTATTGACGCCGGCCGTGAAAAACTTCCGCGAGATTCCAGGCGATGGTGGCAGGGCTGTGCAGTTGTCGCCCACCGACGCGGGGAAGAAGATTCTCGTATATTGCACTTCCACGCGGTTGGTCCGTTGCGCCAACGGCAAGTATTTCAACTCTGGGCATCATCCTGCAGAGACATTCGTGCCACTCTACCATTGGGATAAAGCCGGATTCGCGTTCGAGTTTGTGACCATGGACGGAGGCAAAGTTGCGGTTGAGGAATGGGCGTTTGCAGCGTGCAAGGGTTTCGAGACGCAAATTCGCAGCATGCAAGCAAAGCAAGACGATGCGATGAAGAATCCTCGCAAGACGAGCGACATTGATCCGACGGCCATAGCGGATCACTACCTTGCGATTTTCATGCCTGGGGGACACGCGCCAATCATCGACACGCCAAAGGATCAGGAATTTGGCGCGATTCTTCACGCTGCTAGCAAAATCGGTTTGCCGACGATTTCTATTTGCCACGGACCGGCGGCTTTGCTGTCAGCTGCAGCTTCACCCGCCTTATTGGAGGCATTTCCTTACAAAGGTTATGAGATCTGCGTATTTCCAGACAAACAGGACGACCAGGCGCCGGGGTTCGGTTATTTACCTGGGAAACTGAGCGTGGAGGACAAGGCCGAAGCAAACTTACGGAACTTGGGCTTCGTGATAAAGAACAAGAAGATGGATGACTCCACACACGTCCACAAAGAACTCATTACGGGGGCCAGCCAGCTGTCCGCACAGAACCTCGCGGAACTCGTTTTGAAGATTTTATTGGACAAGTACGACACCAGGTCCTCCGGCCTTGGAGCATAAAGTGCGAAGTTGATATTGGCATCGCTTGCGTGCATAATTCGCTCGTTCCATACTAAGCCAAGTTTATGTTTTCCACTGCTTCATGCGGCACGCTTCGCAGGTTATACTGTGGTTGAGGCATTCACTGGGATGTTACCTCGGGCGTTCCGCGTGCAAGGGCACGCCATGTGATGTAGATGCTAGTCATCGCGCTGGCACGCCGGCTGTCCATGAGTCCATGAGCATCACAGGGGACGTTGCGCCGCAATTTTGGGATGGGTTCCCTCACGCGGCGTCTTTACCAACAACAAACAAGCATCATCAACATACACTTTTGGCGCTATGCGCTGATTTCTTGGATCCGCGCTGGACCCCCCTCCCTGGCGCGCGGAGCGCGCCACGGGCGGCGCCAGAAGTGCCCCCAGGCGGGCCCAGCGGATCCAAGAAATCCGCGCGGAGCGCCAAAAGTTCATGTTCATGGCGTTCTTTCTCATTCAAATTCTAGACGCTTCGCGTAACGCCACCAGCCCATCCAGAAACAATGCCCAGAGGAAGTGCCTCGATCAGGAAAGTGGGCAGCACGCAGAGGAAGGGTCCCCCAGTGGAGGCCTCTTGGCGAGTCTTGGCGGCCTCTTGGCGGTCCCGGACGTCCTGGGGCGCCTGTTGAGGCCTCCTGGGGCCTCCTGGGCGCCTTGGGGCCCTCTTGAAGCGCTCTTGGGAGCCTTGGGAGCGCTCTTGGAGCCCTCTTGGGCCATCTTGGAGTCATCGTGAAGCCTCGGATGGCCATCGGAAGCGAAAAGGCGAGACAGCCCAAAGCATTGATTTTCCTTTGGTTTTTTGGAAGGGTTTTGGCCTCTTCGGGGCCTCCTGGGGGAGCTCTTTGGCCACTTGGAGCCATCTTGAAGCGGTCTTGGGGCCTCTTGGAGCGTCGTGGGAGCCATCTTGAGGCACCTTGGGATATCTTGAGCCATCTTGGAGGTCATCTTGGGCTCTCCCAGGCGCTCTTGGAGTCATCTGAAGCAGCGCCCCCCCCAGGAGGCGCAAATGTGGCCAACACCTTAGTCAATTCAATGATTTTGGCAGTCTCGCCGAGGCATTTTGGAGCGTCTTGGGTGCCTCTGGGGGGGCTCTGGGGGCCTCTTGGGGCCTCTGGGAGGCAGATGCTGGCGCAGGAGGAGGCCCATGACACAGCACGAGGATGCTCAGGGCCATCGTGCACCAGCAGAGGATGGGCGGCGGTGGCAGGTCAGAGTCGGAGCGGACCGTGGGCCGAGGCAGGGCGAGTGCAGCTGCTGACGAGGACCGCCAGAAGCACGACCAGACGGCCCGCGAGTGGGTCCGGAAGTACGCCACCTGAGGCTCCCAGCCGTTCGCCCGCGCTGGCGCAGGGGACC